GCGCTCGGGCCCTGGAAGGGGGGGGGCGAAGATGTCCATGCAGTGGGGGCGCGCACCAAGAAGCCATCTGCTTTTCGTCGGGGTGCCCCGGGTTTCTTCGCTCCTCGCGCTGCGCGGTGCCTTCCCGCGGCCCGCTGGAAGGAGCTGCTGCGTTCAGGGTGCTCCAGGTGTCCCCTCAGGCGCACCTCGCGCGCGGGTTCTCAGGGTTGGGTCTTCTTGCGAGGGTTTCTTGCGGCCGCGCCCGCACTGAATCCACTGCCGCCTGGGGTCCTTGGACAGTTCCCCAGGCGGCGAGTGATTATGCATGAGTTCCGGCCTCGGAGGCACTCAAATGTCTGGCTCTGGGCGTGAGTTTCTAACAGTACAGTCGGGGCGCTGCAGAAGGAACCCGTTTCGTTGGGGAAGGGCTCGGTGTTCCTTGATTGTTTCAAAGTTTGCTTCGGGTTCTCCTAAGGTTTTCCATGGGAAATCGAGGTTGAACTTCTGGGAAGAAGGGGTCTCGTTCCTTATTTAGGGTTCCTTAGGTCAACGACTCTACTGTAGTTTGTCAGATCGAGGCCTTGGGCAAGCGCAGCGTTCTGCAAGCAAAATCCCTGTGGCACTCGCCGGGGCAGGGCCTGCTTTCGTGCTGGTGGTGCCTTTTTCCCCGTGCTTCGCCGAGCTCTGCACGCGAGGCGGCTTCTGAGGGTTCGAGCTGCCCTCGGCGTCGGTCTGTCAAGAGGGAAAGACACACACACACACACACACACACAGACACAATGAATCGACGATTCCCCAGAAAATATGGGAAAATATGGGAAGGGGGGGGGGAAGACAAAAGCCCAGAACATATGGGGAAATATAGGGAATAGGTTTACTTGTGTATGTATGTGTGTGTCCCAGGGCCCCTTCAGTCTGCCCCTCCTGCGGGTGGCCAGGGCATGAAGCCTCCGCCCCTCGACGAGGCCGTGCCTCGCCTCTGTCTGCGGCACCCGAGCCTCCCCGAGAGCGTCAGCGGCGCGCCGTGCGCGGAGCGGCGGCGCGTGCGGCGCGGGGCCACGGCGGGAGCGCCGCACTCAGGAGGGAAAAAAACACAGACACCATTAATCGTCGATCCCCAGGAAAATATGGGAAAATATGGGAAGTGGGGGGGAAGACAAACACCCAGAAAATATAGGAAAATATGGGGAATCTTTTTATTTGTGTGTATTTATTTGTGTGTCCTGGGGCCCCTTCACACACCTGAGCGTCGGAGGGCTTGCCTCCTGTCCGCACCTCGCTGGCGTGCGCGGCGCGCCACACTTCGGGACACCGATGATGATGGGCAGATGTTCCACCACTGTGGGGTAGAGCCGTGGTGCCCCTGGGTGGCCCGCTGGCCCGTCGTTTTGGTTTTGTGCTTTCGGTCGGCTGCCTCTTCGTCGCCACGGTTGGACTCGGCTCGGAGAGCTGGGGGCTCTGTCTTGTGGCCCGCGCGGGCTGTAGGGCTGAGCCGTGGTGCCCCTGGTTGGCACGCTGGCCCTCTGCAGGTTTCAGAGAGCGGGCATCCGTCCGGATGACTCGCTGAGCGGCAGCCGGCGCGCCGGCTCAGGCGGGCTCAGGAGCCCGCCCTCCACCCGACCCGACCCGACCTCCTCCTCCTCCTCCTCCTCCTCCTCCTCCTCCTCCTCCTCCTCCTCCTCCCTCTCCTACGTATGGTAGTGGTGGTGGAACATGGGCCCATCAGATGAGGCGTGTGGGGCGCGACCTCCTGTCTAGGCCTCCCAGGTGGGGTCGGAACAGACGGGGTCGGAGGATGGCGCCGCACCGCCGATGCATCGGCGGTGCGGCTCGACGTGGCGCCCGAGTTTCTCCACACCGACGTCGCCGGTGCACCGCCGACGTTGCCGGTGCATCGCCGATGCATCGTCTTCGTTCTTGGGCTCTCCACCTTGGAATGGCATTCGCTTGGGGTGCGTATCTTAACGGGGTCTCGGGCTCACGGCGCGGGGGCTCGTGTTCTTGATTTTGCGCTCTTGTGGCCATGTTCTCCGATTGTATCCGTACTGGCTCAAGTCGTCAGGTTGAAGACCCATTCCCCATCTGTCAAGCACTGGCGAAGCGTCCCGTCATACCTATAGGCCCACCAAGCGATGTTCTGAGAGCCTCATGCGGTTTCTGGGGCATTTTCTCAGAATGTGTCCGGCTGGGGCTGTCTTGTTTCAGTACGTCGTGTTTATGTTCTAAGAGCATTGTCTTTGTTGTTGGAAGGTGCCTGTGTTCTAAGAACACCTCGTGGTAGGCCTATAGGACTGCCGGGACGGTCGGTCCCTGCTCAAATCCGGACTGAAGGTGCGGCTCGGCTCGATGCTGGAACGCACGTCGGTGCCTGGTGAGCCAGCGCCACCCCCGAAGATCAGCTACCCGACGCTCGCCGCCGTCGAGCAGGGCGGCGGTCCGCCCCGCGTGCTCAATGCCCCGCTCCGCGTCTCCACCGCCGTCCAGACAGACGCGATCGCGCCCCCCGCCACCTGGGTCCCGCAACCCCGGCTCAAGGCCAGCGCTGAGTCGGGCATACGTCCCCCATCTACAGAAGAAATATCAAAACAAAAATCAGAAAATAGCCTGTGGACAACGTTTCGACCATTTCTGGATTTTTTTGCTTATTATTTGTTTGGCTGTGTTTTAACTGTCCTCCGGAATCCGCCTGTAGGAGGGCATGCCTCCGAGGCGGGGATTTCTCTATCACCACCGCCTCTGGTGGGTCTATCTTTGCGGACCTGGCGGTGGATGTGGACACATTCGGGCCTCCGGGTGCCCAAATCTATCCATTCCCACCGCCTGTTGGGGCACCAGAATGTCGGTTCCCAGGCGGTGGGTATGGATAAATCCCCGCCTCGCAATGCCCGACCTACCTTTCAGTCGGGCCTGTCCTTTTGCAGGAGGAATATTCCAAAATAGTCCCAAAATAGCCTGGGGACGACTGTTCTACTACTTCTGGCCAGTCTTGCATCCTTTTGGGGGGCATTGTTCTTTTGATTTGTTTGATGTTCCGTCCAAGCTCCGCCTCTGGGGGGACACGCCCGACCTAAGCCCAACTCTTTGTTGCTCCAGTCGTACCTAAGGACCACAGCCCAGAAATAATTTCGAGCACCCGGAAAAGTGTCGAAACAGTGTCGGACGAGTGCCTCCCAGGGCCCGACGCGTGGAAACCCTGGAGTTTCTCGGTATTTTCTCGGTATCCGAAGCTCTTTCTGGCCATCGTGGCCGCATCATACAGTGAGCGGCTTGAATAAGGAACACGCTTCAAAAAGGGCTCGGTCGTTCTCTAGGCTTGCATGAGCTATCTGCAGTTTCTTATGCGTTGTTTGTTTTTTAATCGTTCCTTATGCGTTATTCCTCAGGATAAAAAAAGGGGCTTCGTTCCTTATTTATCGTTCCTCAGGTCAGGCCGATGACTGTAACCCACCTCCAGCTCGAAGCTCTTTCTGGCGACCGAGGCTGCAGCAGGCCAGGCTATCTGCAGTGCTCGATGCTCGAAGCTCTTTCCGGCGATCTCGGTGCTCGCAGTTCTTTCTTTCTGGCGATCCAGGCCCGCGGGGCCCCCGCGGCGCCCGAGCCGCACGCCGTGCCCGAGCCGCCGCCGGGGCGCGGGCCCCCCGCGGCCCGCGGCGACGAGGCGGCCCCGGCCTCCCGCGCGGGCGCGGCGCGGGGCCCGCACCCCGCCCCCCGACTGCCGGCCCTCCGCGGCCGCGCCCGCGCGGCCGCAACCTGCTTGTGCGCCGCGGCTCGCGCGCTCCTGCCGGGGCGCCCTTCCCCCCCCCCCCCCCCCCCGACCCCCCCCGGGGGGTGGGGGGGGGCCACGATCGGGGGCTGCGATGCGGGGGGGAGGCGGAGGTGCCCATGCCCATCGGCTGTTGAAAGTAGGGGTTTTTGGGATTCCCAGATTCCAATCTACGTTCGGCGCCTTCCTGCTTCAGGGGTCGAGTGGTTTTCCCTCTTCCCTCCTCTTCAGGAGGCGGGGCGGAGACCCAATCTATGTCCAACGCCTTCCTACTTCATGTCTCTACCTACTTCTTCCGACCGATGGGTATACCTCTGCCCTTCGCCCGATGTTTCCCCTCCTCGGGCCTCCTCGGAGGCCCTCGTCGCCACCGCTGGATGCGCCTCGGAGTTCTGGTCGGAGCGCGCTCCGGGAGAGGTCCGGGGGAGAAGCGGTATCGGTGCTTTTGGGGTCTCCCCGGGGATGGGCACAGGGGGGATGCATCGACCACCACTCGCCCGTGGATCCCCGATAGGGGCTCGACAGCCTCACCCTGCCCGGGAAGGTGCGGACTCACCATCGAGGCCCTCTCGCCGATCTATCGGCGATGTATCGCCGATCCTAGGTCGATGCATCCCCCCCTATGCCAGTCCCCCCCCCTATCGTTAAGTCGGGCCTGTCCCTCTACAGGTGGAATATTCAAAGACAGTCAAAAAATAGTCTGGGGACGATTCTTTTTTAGCATTTTTTTACTATTTGGGGGTATTTTTTTAGTATTTTTTGTTTTCGTCCCAAATCCCCCTGTAGGGGGACAGGCCCGACCTAACCCTAGGCCGGTCCCCCCCCCCTATCGTCGCCCCTCAGGCCCGCAGGCGGCGCGTGGGCGGAGGCTCCGAGGCGGGAAGTTGCACACGACCACAGCCCGGAGGTTTTTGGGGACCTCGGCAGGCAGTGGATCAGGAGCGAAAAGAAGGACGTACACGTACATGAATCCACGCTGGTTTCGAGAGTACGCATAGCGCAAATGTTCGTATAGCGCGGCCAGCCTCGCGGATCGAGGGGCCGTGTTCATGTATACATAGCTGGGCGCGTACGTCTTTTGTGGGCTCCCTAGTGGACACGGTAGGTTCGCGTCGTGTCGACCGGCGGCGACCCTGCCGCCGGCGTTCAACGGTGAACGCCGCCGGCGACCCAGAGTCGGTCGATGTTGAACGATGGAACGTTTCGAAACCGGCCGACCGTTCAAGGCTGAACAATCCCAGCGGTGTCAGGAACCAACGCCGGGGTCGTCACGACACGAACCTGCCATATGGATGTCTTCGGGCCCCTGGGGGCTAAGACATATCCAGCGAGGGGGGAGAACACACACACAGACACAGTTCATCGTCGATTCCCCCGCAAGCATGGGAAAATATGGGAAGGGGGGGGGGAGACGAAAGACCCTGCAGATCTGGGAAAATATGCGGGGAATCCTGTCAGTTGTGTCCAGTTCTGTCCACATCCGCCGCCCGTGGAGGGCGCCAGGACGTCGGTCCCCAGGCGGTGCACCCGGCTTTGAGGCCCCCGCCCCGCAGGAGGCGTGCCCTGGCCGCGCGCAGGACGGCCCGCAGGGGGAGGCAGCGCGAGTCCCGTCGAGCGAGGCTGCGTTATGTTCCCGCTCTTCCTTTGCGTCGTGTGTGTGTGACTGTGCGTGTGTGTGTGTGCGTGTGTGTGTGTGTGCGTGTGCGTGTGCGTGTGCGTGTGCGTGTGCGTGTGCGTGTGCGTGTCCCTGTCCCTGTCCCTGTCCCTGTCCCTGTCCCTGTCCCTGTCCCTGTCCCTGTCCCTGTCCCTGTCCCTGTCCCTGTCTCTGTCTCTGTCTCTGCCTCCGCAGGTCACCCCGCCGCTCTGCCCCGCTGCCCTCCGGCGGTGCTTCCGCCTCGGTGCACCTGCCGTTGTTGGGGTGCGCGTGCCCTGGCTGCAGAGCTGCGTGCCGGCCGTCCCCACAGTGGTGACGTGCCACCTCTTACGGTAGGTTTGCGTCGTGTCGACCAGCGGCGACCCCAGCGCGGTCGTTCAAGGTTGAACGCCGCCGGCGACCCAGAATCGATCGATGTTGAACGATCGGACGTTGCGGCAGCGGCCGATCGTTCAAGGTTGAAAGATCCCTGCGGTGTCAAAAACCAACGCTTGGGTCGGCACGACACGAACCTGCCGTACCCAACGAGCGGTCGGGGTCTCCCCCCTCTGGCGCCGCTCTCAACCTTCGTCTCCAACGGTGGGCGCCGCTCACGGGCACGTGCCCCGTGATCGCACCGTGCTGGCCCCTTTCCACCAGGCTCTACGCAGCCTTGCATGCTGACCAGCGGTTTCCACCTTTGTCCCCACCTGCAGCATCGCGCTTTCGCGTGGGACTTCCCCGCAATTTATTGAGTCGTCGCGCCCTCGACCCTCAGGAATCACGCTCTCGCTGTGGATGTCCTCACGATTTATTTGGGAATCGTGTTTTTGCCTGAGACGTTTCGCGATTCATGCAGGACGCACGCTTCAGCAACCCGCCTGCCCCTTGTCCCTTCCATCCGTCCTCTCTTCTCCTGCCTTAGGGGCTGCACGAGGTACACGTTGCAGGTAAGAAAGAGATATACCCCCAAGGGGGTACGGTCGAAGACGAAGAGAACAAGTATCGATGGTTTGGGATATACGTGTTGAATGGCCCGCGAGCAGATAAGAGCGACGAACAGTCTCATAATGATGTTTGTTGTTGTTGGTATTGGTGGTGTTGATGTTGTCATAGTTGATGTTGGTGTTGGTGGTGTTGTTGTCGTTGTTGGTTGCTGTTTTGGTGTTGCTGGTGTTGGTGCTGTTGTAGTTGTTGCTGTTGTTGGCGTTGGTGTTGGTGTTGGTGTTGTTGTTGTTGGTGTTGATGTTGTGTGTGTTGTTGTTGCTGTCGTCGGTTGTTGTTATTGTTGGTGCTATTGTTGTCATTGTTGTTATTGTCGTTATCGTTGTTGTCGTTGTTGTCGTTGTCCTCGCCTGCGGCCCGCACGCGACCCACCCCGCGACCCACACCTTTGGCATCGCTCGGACGTGTGCCTGTTTTCTCGGCCAGGACCACCGTGGAGGACCTTGGATCGAAAGGTCGAGCAGGCGAGGAGGAGGAGGAGGCGGAGGAGGAGGCGGAGGAGGAGGAGGAGGAGGGCGAGGGGAGAGAGAGCAGAAGAACGGGAGAAGGATGAGGAGGGAGAGGACAGAAGAACGGGAGGAGGAGGCGGAGGAGCCAGGACCACCGTGGAGGACCTTGGAAGAAGCACGCACGAAATCGAAACGTGCAGGCGGAATGGACGTCCGAGCGATGGCAGGCCCCGCGACCCGCCCCGCCGCCCACCCGGCGATCCACAGGCGACCCGCCCGCGACCTACCCGCGACCCGCCCGCGATCCACCCGCGTTGCTTCACCGAAAAATTGGCGCCTGCGGCGGGGGTCGCTGTATTGTTTGTAGAAAGCAGGCGGGAAAAACACACAGACACAATGAATCGCCGATTCCCCCGAAAATATGGGACAACATGGGAAGCGGGGGGGGGGAGACGAAAACCCAGGAAATATGGGAAGATATGGGGATTCCTGGGATTTGTGTGTAGTCTTTTGCGGGCCCACCATTTCTAGACGGGCGGCGCCTGCGTTTTTTTTGCTGTTGCTGTCTCTCCCCGCAGAGCCGGCCCCGCGCAGAGTGCCGCCGCCCCCCCGCCGCCCACCCGCCCGGGTCCGCAAAGCCGCGGGGTTCGGCGCACGGTGTGTATTTGCGAGGGCGCGCACGTCCCTCTCCCTCTCGTTCTTTTGTTGTGTTTCTCTCTCTCTCTCTCTTTTTCTGTCTCTCTCTCCCCCCTCTCTCTTTCTCTTTTGTCGGCTCCCGCTCTCTCTCTCTTCAGCCTCCACTCTCTTCTGGTACGGTTTCCTTGGTGCTGTGGTGGTGATTTTTCTGCTGTGTGTCTCTCCGTCTCTCTTTCTCCTCCTCTTGCTCTTCAGGCTTACACCGGCGCACATCTATCGTTATGCTAGCTTGTTCCTGCTCTTCCTCTCTCTGCATATTGTAAAGGCCTTCTAGCCGGTGCCGCCGACCCTCCCCCCGGACCCCCGCCGGCGCCCCCCCCGCCAGGACCCTTGAGTGGGCAGTAGTTTGAGCCGTGACCGCCCCCCGCCGACCACGGGCGGGACTTCCCTGGGACCCCCGTTGGCGGCTCCCCCGGAAGGGGGTGGTCGCTCTGTTCAGCCCCTCCCCCGGGGACCCGCCAGGGCCCCGGGGGGGAGGCAGTCATCTGACCCGAGACTTCTTCCCGTAGCTTAATTACCCCCGTACACCCCCGCCCGTCAGGGAGGGCAGAAGGGGGAGGAAATCGACTCAACTGCGACACTTCTTTTGTCTGTTCGTTCCTCTTTCTAGCGGGACTGGCGAGGACGACGACGACGACCAAGACGACGACAGCGTCTCACACACGCCGAAGGGTCGGCAGGTATTGACATCTAGATGTATCTAAACACAAGATGTTACCCGTTCGCTGCGCTTTGCCTTTAAAATGTTGGTCGCATGGCGCCAGCGAGGCGCGCCGCGACTGGTAGTCGCTAGCACCGCGGTGTGTTTCGGCAATGGGGCACATGGGGCACACAGGGCTGATAGGACTTATGGGCTCATCTGGGTCCGAGGTTTGAAGGGATTTCCGCCGCCATTGGGGCCCCAAAGCTCGGAGCGCGCGCGAATGTGGAAGAGGGGTGCGTAGGGCAGCGCGTCTCCTGGGGATCATGAGGTTCCGAGAGCCCGCAGCCGTACTTGAGTTCAGAGGGTTCCTTGGGCTGATGAGCTCGCTGGGCGTGGAGACTCGCGTGGGCCCGTGGCATCACAGAAGCCAATGGCTACTGGGTCCCATAGAGCGGGTCGTCTCATAGGGCTTGTTAGGCACATGGGTCTCATACGGGCCATTGTGCCAATTGGGCCCAGTAGGCTCATAAGGTTCAGAAAGGGGTCGTCGGAGTCAAAAGCCTCACAGGGCCGACGGGGCTCTGAGGGATCGCGCGGGCCGCGGGGCCCATGAAGCTGATAGGACTCATAGGGCTCGTAGGCCTTCTGAGGCCCACCTGCGACATAGGGCCCATAGGGCCCACTGAGCTGGTAGGGCTCGTGGGGCCAGTCTGGCTCATTGGCCTCGTGGGGCTTATAGGGCCCAAAGAGCCCTTAGGGCTTATAGGGCTCATAGGGCTCACACAGCTCGTAGGGCGCATACGGCTCATAATGCTTACATGTTTGATGGGCTCACAGGCGACAAAGGGCTCACAGGGCGCACAGGGCCCATAGGGCTAATGAGGCTCGTAGGTCCATAAGGGTCAGAGGGCTCGTAGGGCACATAGGCCTCATAGGGCTCGTGGGGCTCATGGGGCTCGTAGGGCATAGCGGGGCTCATAGGGTCCGTAGGCTTTTTAGGGCCCATGGGGCTCGTATGAGGATCGTTGTCTTGCGTTTGGCTGGCGAGTGTGTTGCCACGTGGAATGGCATGGAAGCAGAGCAGGCGGAGGGGAGAGAGAGAGAGTGGGAAATAGAGAGAGAGAGGGTAGAGAAAGAGGTGGTCATATGGTTCGTAGGTCTCGTGGGGCTGAGAAACTCCTTTGGCCCACGGGCCCGTAGGGATCGAACGGCTCGTAGAGCGCGTGGCAAAGGTTTATCGGGGGTGGTGAATGGCACATGGGGCTCAGATGGCTCATAGGGATCGTAAGGGTGACAGGGTTGGGAAGGGAAGGGTCGTATGGGCCCATGAACTGATGAGGATGATGGGGCTCGTGGGGGTTAGAAGGCGTATGAGGTCGTGTGCGTACGTGTTGCAGAGGGCTCGTGTGCGTACGATATTGGGCTCGTGAGCGTACGTGCTGCAGAGGGCTCGTAGAGGTCATAGGGCAGATGCGGCGGATGGGGCTCTGAGGGCTCGCAGCGTTGACAGGGGTAGTAGGGTGGGTTCGCAAGGCTCGAAGGGCGCGAACGGTCGTCGGGCTCATAGGTGTCGTAGGGCTCAGGATCTCATTGGGCTCATGGGCCCGTAAAGCTTATGGGCCTCAGAGGGCTTTGGGGAGAGGCGTCGCAGGGGCCCTTGCAGGGCGCATGGGGGTCTTAGGCCTCATACGGCTCATAGGGCTCGAACGGCTCATAGCTCCATCTGAACCTGTCTTGCGAGGCGTTGTGGGCAGCTTCGCGGCATTACTGGGCCGTTTCGGGGCCTCTTTGAAAGCCAGTTGCGCCGCTTGTATTGTGTGAGGGCGCTATATGGCGCGCTCAGGATTGGGAGCGTCTTTGTGTCTAGATTTTGGCACATGATTGAACACATCTGCGACGCAACCTCGCGAAAATTAACGAATGTGGCCTCTGAAGGCCTTCGTGGGGATCCTTGTGGGGTTCTGTTTGGCAATATGATGGCCCTGCTAGGCGGTCCTGGGACCCTCTTGAACCGACTTGAGGGAATTTGGCAGTTTGGGGGCTTTCTTGGGTTCCTCTTGGGCCCTCGTTGGGGCCTCCTGTGGCCTTCTTGGGGCTCTCTCGGGAGCCCTTTGGGACCCCCTGGGCCCCGTCTTGGGCCCTCTTGGAGGCTTCGGGACAGTTTTGGGGCCCTTGGAACAGTTGTGGGCCTTCCTTTGGCGATCTGTGTGGTCTCTTGGGCCACCTTGGACGCCGTGGAGACCAAATACGGGAATACGTTGAAACGCACGTCTTCCGGAGGGAATTGGACGATTTTTGCATTTGGGGGGTCCCATTGGCAATGGGGGCATTTTGGGACGTCTTGGGGGCCTCCTGAGCCGTCTCGAAGCCGCCGTGGGCCCTCTTTGAGCGCTCATGGGCTGTTCTGGAGCGGCCTTGGGCCGTTTCGGGGCTCCGCTGGACCATCCTGGAAGCTATCCTCGGCCCGCTCTTGCGGCGTAGGATGGCCCAGAGGGCTCCCGAAACCGAACAATTGGAATTCACGTATGTATGTGGGAGTGCCCAGGGCCGAATTTATGTACGTGGGGGTGCTGTGGGAGGAGCGGTTTTTCCGTATAAGAATATTCGGGAAGGAATATACATCGGAGGTTGGAGGGTGAGGTCGCAGTGAAACAGAGAGCCCCCCACTGGAAAATCGGTGTCGGTTTCGTGTTCTTGTCGTGCGTGCTGGCGAGGCGAAGCTGCACAGGCGCGCGAGAGGAATGACCCCGCCGTCGCTGGGCGATTCGGATGCAGTGGACCGCCCCTCCGCCCTCGGGGGGGCGCGCGGTGGCCCAGGTCCCGTTGGTGTCCCGTCGGTGTTCCTTCGGCGGTGGGCGGGCGGTGGCGGGGGGTGACCTGCCTTGGTGTCGATGTGAAGTCGGTCGTGAGATCAACAAAGGTCGCTAGAATGGGACGGATCGTGTGATCAAAGGTGAGATCGACCGTGAGGTTGGTTGTGACATTGGTTGTGTGATCGGTCGTGAGTTCGAAAGTAAAATAGATTGAGAAATCGATAGTCAGAACGGTCACGAGATCGACACCGAGATCTATAGTGAGATCGATCGTGTTAGATTTATATAGTGAGATCGACCGAATGCGATCGATCATGTGAGGTCGATAGTCGGATCGATCGAGTGAGATTGAAAGCGGGGACGATACTGACATTACATCGCAGCGCAACGTCTTCATCATGCGCCGTCGCTAACTCGAGGGTGCGTACCCATCGGTCGTTGAAAGTAGGCATTTTTGGATTCCCAGATTCCAATCTACTTTCAGCGCCTTCCTACTTCAAGAGTCGAGTGGTGTTCCTTCTTCCTTCCTCTTCAGGAGGCGTGCGGAAACCCAATCTATTTCCAACGCCTTCCTACTTCATGTTTCTACCTACTTCTTCCGACCGATGGGTAAGCAGCATTGTCATCATCACACCCTTCGTATCGGCCAGCAGTTGGTTCTCTCCCCCCACCCCACAACCTCATCCAACCTCCTTATCACCCCAAGGGTGGTCGTATAGGTATGTTGGGGCATACGATCTGCATACCTATACGACCACCCTTCGGGTGAGAAGGAGGTTGTGGGGGGGGAGAGGGGGGGGGACCAACATCTGACTCAATCGATCTCACTATCGATCTCACTCCACGGGACACCACGGGACACTTGTCGATCTCACTGTCGATCTCACTCAACGGGACACCGCTGGACACCACGGGCCACCACGGGACACCACGGGACACCGCGGGACACCTCTCGATTTCATTATCGGTCTCACGATCGATCTCACTATCGATCTCACTCAACGGAACACCATACAGTCGGCCCGGATTAGTAGGTCGACCTTGCCAAATCAAGGGTATTTTTGTGTCTTGTGTCTCGCGACCCATGCCTTCTTGCATTCTTGTGGCGATGTGGCCCTCGGAAGGGTCTTGTGTCCTCTCGCGTGTCCTGTCCAATGAAATCCGACTGTAGGACACCACGGGACACCTCGGGACACCACATCTCGGGACACCACATCGATCTCACTATCGATCTAACTCAACGGAACACCACGGGACACCACAGGACACCTGTCGATCTCATTATCGATCGCACTATCAATCTCACTTTTTGGGGACACCACGGGACACTTCGGGGCACCACATCCATCTCAGTATCGATCTCACTATCGATCTCACTCAACGGGACACCACGGGACACCTGTCGATCTCACTATCGATCTCGCTTTATGGGACACAACGGGACACCTCGGGGCACCACATCGATCTCAGTATCGGTCTCACTATCGATCTCGCTTTTTGGGACACACCTCGGGACACCACATCCATCTCAGTATCGATCTCACTATCGATCTCACTCAACGGGACACCACGGGACACCTGTCGATCTCACTATCGAACTCGCTTTATGGGACACCACGGGACACCTCGGGGCACCACATCGATCTCAGTATCGGTCTCACTATCGATCTCAATATCGATCTCGCTTTTTGGGACACCACGGGACACCTCGGGGCACCACATCCATCTCAGTATCGATCTCACTATCGATCTCACTCAACGGGGCACCACGGGACACCGCGAGCCACCGCCGGACGGACGGACGGGCGGACGGGCCGGCGGGGGAGAATCATTTGTCTTGACTTCGCCCTAGCAACGCCGGACACCACTGGACACCGCGGGACACCGCGAGCCACAGCCGGACGGGCTGGAGGGGGAGAATCATTTGTCTTGACTTCGCCATAGCAACGGCGGACACCACGGGACACCACGGTACACTACGGGACACCGCGGGACACCGCGAGCCACCACTGGATGGGCGGGAGGGAGGGGGAGAATCATTTGTCTTGACTTCGCCCTAGCAACGACGGACGCCACGGGACACCACGGGACACGCGGGACACCGCGGGACACCGCGAGCCACCGCTGGACGGGCGGGAGGGAGGGGGAGAATCATTTGTCTTGACTTCGCCCTAGCAACGGCGGACACCACGGGACACCACGGGACACCGCTGGACACCGCGGGACACCGCGAGCCACCGCCAGACGGGCGGGAGGGAGGGGGAGAATCATTTGTCTTGACTTCGCCCTAGCAACGGCGGGTTCATTTCTCTCGCGCGCCCACGCAGCTTCGCCTCGCCCGCACGCACGACACGAACGAGACGAAACAATTTCCCGGTTTGGGGTCTCCGTTCCATTGCGATCTCACCCCGCAATTTCCGATGTTGATGTTTGAGTGTGTGCGTGTGTCTCATCATTGGGTACCGCACCTGGATAACTTGATGGATCGTGTCGACAAACGACGGGTTCTACCTGTACATACTTACATACATACATATGATGTGCATGTGCGCTGGTATGCCCCACGCCGAGACCACCGCACACCGCACAAACGACCAGGCGGGCACCAAGCACACCTTCCATACAAAAGCCAGACAGCTCGCATCTTCTCCCCCACAGGAGGACTGCCACAGGGCGGATGCGGCGATGGGGGGACCGGCGGCGTCCTTCGGCTGCGCGCCGCCTGCGCGCGACGGCACCTTCGGCGAGGAGTGGGCGGCGCCCGATGGCCGCGCCCTGTGCGGCGTCGCTCCGCGCCCGACCACAGTGATGATGCGCAACGTGCCGAACGGCTACACAAGAGATGGGCTTATCGCCCTGATCGAGGGCCAGGGGTTCTCGGGCAAGTTCGATTTCGTCTATCTTCCGTTGGATTTCAAGTCGATGCTGAACATGGGTTACGCGTTTGTGAACTTGATCAACCCCGAAGAGGCGACCCGCTTCGTGGAGTTATTCACTGGCTTCTGCCAGTGGCTTCATTCACAATCGCAGAAGATTTGTTCTGTGTCCTGGGCCGAGACGCAAGGATTGCCCGCAAATGTTGAGAACTTGCGGAGGAATCTCTTCATGCGGAACCTACTAACGGAGGAATGCAAGCCTGTAATCTTTTGCAATGGGCGGAGGGTTCCCTTCCCTCGGTCGTACAAGAAATTGCGGTATCTTGCGTTGGCCTTGAGAGGTCATTAGCGAGACGCGTGGTGCAACCTTTTCCGCATGCCGCAATCCTCGCCTCCGCCATCCTCGACTCTCCGCCTCGACCCTCCGATGTGCTGCCGGCATGGTGAGACCTTCGTGGGGTACGCTTGGCCATCAGGCGCGTTCACATCCGATTTCATTTCGCGAGCCAGATTGGTTGTGATCATCCTTTGAAGGCGCCGGGCGGGCAACCTCACATCCCATTTTTTTGCCAGCCAGCATGGTTGTGATCATCCTTGAAAGGCACTGGGTGGTTAACTGTGCTCCGTCAGCTCTGAAGTTGGCGCATCCATTGCCTGGTCCGTTGGCACAGGCTTCCAGCCCCGCCCTCAGCCCAGAGATGCCATCGGTCGGCGCAGGCTGATGGTTCCAGATACCAGGCTGGCACAGGCTCAAATGGTCAAGTTTCAATTCCTGCAGGGTTGGAGTGATCATCGGCCCTGGTATCTCTGGTGCGAACTAGGCTGAATCTGGCAGGTTTCCAGTTTCAACATCTGGGCTGGGGTTGAATTCGGCTCATTCTAGGAAATGGCTCCGTAATCTTGCGGAGTCGATCCTGACAGTATTTCAAGCGCCCCTTTCGGTCGTCGCAGGCTTCTGGTTCCGAGGCCCGCCAACGGCCCAACGTTCTCCGATGCGGCCCCAGATGAGGGACCGGGTCGGATGAAAGGTGGGGATCCTCCTCATCATCGTCCTCATCCTCGTCATCATCACCATTCGCATCATCATCATCATCATCATCATCATCGTCATCATCATCATCATCATCATCATTTTCATCTTCATCTTCATCTTCATCTTCATCTTCATCTTCATCTTCATCATCAGCATCAGCATCAGCATCATCATCATTATCATCGTCATCATCAGCATCATCAGCATCATCATCATCATCATCATCATCGTCATCGTCATCGTCATCAGCATCAGCATCAGCATCAGCATCATCATCATAATCATCGTAATCATCAACATGATCGTCAGCATCATCATCATCAGCATCGGCATCAGCATCCTCCTCCTCCTCCTCCTCCTCCTCCAAGGTGGGTTCACGACATCTGTTTCGTGAAGCTGAGTTCGGCCCTGCCGCCCGTCGCCTTTCCTCGATGCGCCCTGACGCCGAGGAGAGACGCCGGGGAAAAACCAGCTGCGGGAGCTGATTCGCCAATCCCCCTCTTTACTACCACCCCCTTTCGTCCGACCCAGGAGGAGGAGGAGGAGGAGGAGGAGGAGGAGGGGGAGGAGGAGGAGGAGGAGGAGGAGGAGAGGAGGAGGAGGAGGAGGAGGAGCAGGGGGAGGAGGAGGAGAGGAGGAGGAGGAGGAGGAGGAGGAGGAGGAGGAGGAGGAGGAGACGGGGAGGGGGAAAGGGAAGGGGGGGGGGGGAAGGGGAGTGGGAGGGGGAGGGGGAGGGGGGAAAGGGGAGGGGGGGGGAAGGGGAGGGGGGGGGAGGGGGAGGGGGAAAGAGGAGGGGGAGGGGGAAAGGGGAAAGGGGGAGGGGGAAAGGCTAAGGGGAGGGGGAAAGGGGGAGGGGAAGGAGGAGGAATGGAGGGAGAAGGGAAGGAAGGGGCAGGAGAGCCGGGAGCTGGGAGGAGCTGACGTGGAAGGCGTTGGCAATCGGTCACCGTGCCCTTGAGCAGGCCGGTGGCACCGCCAGTGGTGGCTCCCAGAGCCCGCATGCACAGTTGGGGTCGCGCTCAGGCCCGTGGGGTGAGACCAGCGTCAGTCAAGGGCAACACCAGGGTGGGATAGGCTCAGAGGGGGGATGCATCGACCCCCATTCACCCATCCATTCGCCGAGTGGGGCCCGATAGTCTCGTCCCGCCCAGGAGCGTGTGGATTCGCTATCGGGGGCCGATCGCCGATCTGTCGGCGATGTGGCACCGATCCCAGTCCCTGCGCCAGTCCATGCCAGTCTCACCCTAACGTTTCCCATCAAGTCAGAGTCGCGCTCAGGCTTGTGAGGCGGGACCAGCGTCAGGGACCCAGACGCGACGCAGACGCGGGGTCAGTGGTGACGGCGTTTGTATGTAGAACTCTCACGCCGCCAGGGGCCAGTTCATCAAAGGATCGCGGACGTCATGTTCTGCCTTCTTCCTTCCGTTGCGCAAGTTTTGACAGTTGCGTGGCAACAGAAGACAGTTGCCCTCGCACGGACTCGACGATCACCGCGAGGCGGGCCACTCGGTGTCGGGATCAAGGACATATAGGGGGAGGAGCCGCTGATGCATGCACGAGTCGCTTTCGCGCGCGCGCTGCGTCGCTCTCGCGGCGCTGCGTCGATTCTGTGCGCGCGCTGGCCGGGGCCCAGGACGAGGCCGTCGCGGCGGGGACCAGGGGCCAGGGGCCAGGGACGGAGCGAGGAGGAGGAGGAGGAGGAGGAGGAGGAGAAGGAGGAGGAGGAGGAGGAGGAGGAGGAAGTGGAGGAGGAGGAGGAGGAGGAGGAGGAGGAGGACGAGGACGAATACGAGGACGAGGAGGAGTATGGAGAAGGAGGAGGAGGAGGGAATGATGAGGGGCCAGGGACGGAGCGAGACACCCAGGGATAGTAAGTGACCGCCTTGCTTGATTGTCCTCGGGCCTTCCCGGCCTGCCGCTCGCGCGCGCGCGCCAGACGCGCGTCGTCGCCGAGCCTTCCACTCACTTGCTCACAGCAGCTCGGCGCTGCAGCGCTCGCGAGTGCCATTCGCACGTGTCAACGGGAACTGCCCAGAGGATCCCGCCGCAGGAGGCCACGTGTCGCATGCGAGCCCTGCCCCACCACCCCACGGCTTCTGAGGGGGGCGGTGGGGTCCATGTCGTCCGGCGAACGAAACGAGCCCCACCGCGCCCCCGAAGCAATCGTGGGGGGTGGTGGGGCAGGGTTCGCATGTGGCCTCCTACTTTGGAAGGCAGTCGAGGACCTTCGAGCAGCGCAGGTCAGCCCTCGTCTCATGCCCCCGACGCTTGGCATGGGGCTGGGGCAAGTGGGCCGCTTGTGGCCCCGTGGGGAGGGGGCGGCACGGGCTCCACGGACAGGGATATCCGAAGATGCGAGCGACTCACCGAGCGCGCTTCACTACTCGCACAGTGCCTGTCCGCAAACGTCCGCAGAAACGCGTCTGTCTGCCTCGCTGCCAGCTGTCGTAGGTCCCCCGCAGGGGGGATCAGGGCCAGTGGCGAGCAGTGGCTCCGCGAGCAGTGGGACGTGCTCTTCTAGAGAAGCTCCGGGATGGCAGGAGGGCGGAGGAGGACGCGCCCGCGCTGACTCCCGCCGCAGCAACGGTGCCTCTCGGGCGGTGCCAGCCGCTGTTTCGCCCGAGGCCCACGAATGGCGGCGCCTGCATCTGCCCGTTGCGGCTTCTTGGGCACCGGGTGCGTACTCATCTCGCGCTCCCCGGCGCACGAGGCTGTTAGCCTCGCGCTGCCGAGCAGAGCAGCCCCTTTGGCGCTGCGCAGACCTGCATCTCCAAGGGGCCAGTGCGAACTCCTCCTGCCCCGCCCCCTCCTCGCGGATCGGTCGAAAGGGAGGAGATGGGAAAGGGGGGTTTGCACGACATCTGCCTCATGCAGCTGGTTTCGGCCCCTCCGCGTGGCGCTTTCCCCGGAAAGCCAACGGGGCCGACGGGGACCGTGCCCCAAAACTTCGTGTGGCGAGGCGTCGTGCCGTATATGCCTACTGTACTTTTGCGCCCCTGTCGGATGTCAGTACGGCCCGGGGAAGGACAAAAGGGCACGAGCATAAGCTTCCGGAGGTCCGCGCAGCGCTCCGACAGTTTATGTTTATGTGTTTGTTCTTCTGATCTCGGCGCCAGCCTGGCGGCTGTTGCTGGTCTACGGGAACGAATGATGACATGGACATAAAAACTCGAAGGTCTGTGCGGATTTCGCGGCTCCGCGCTGGACCCCCTTGGCGGCGCCTCCGGCGCCGCCCCTGGCGCGCTCCGCGCGCCAAGGAGGGGGGTCAATCGCCGATCCGAGAAATCTGCGCGGAGCTCCGAGCTTTTATGCTCATGCCATCGTTCGTTCCCCGATGGTCGCGGTTTGGCAGCAGCGCCGGTCTCGCGGGGGCGCTCTTGCGCCTCGACGTGTGCCCGCTGAGCATGCGCAGGCGCCTTTTTTTGCTGGCCCGCGCCCCCCGAGGCGCAGGGCAGCGGGTTACCCTTTCGGGGCAACGTCAGGGAGGGATGGGCTCGGTAGGGGCTGTATTGGTCGCCCACTGATCAGCGACAGCCGAAGAGTAAGAAGAAGAAGAAGAAGAAGAAGAAGAAGAAGAAGAAAAAGAAGAAGAAGAAGAAGAAGAAGAAGAAGAAGAAGAGGGGGCCGCGTGCGAACCCTACCCCCTACCAGCCCCCGTGATTTCTAGGGGGGAGGGTGGGGCTCACTGCGCTCGGGAGCTCCCGGGCGAAGCGAACCCCACCCTCCCCCGCAGAGATCGCGGGGGGCTAGTAGGGGCAGGCTTCGCACGTGGCCCCCCTCACAGAAGAAGAGGGCACCTTTGAGCATGAGCTCTCGGAGCTCCCCGCGGAGACCCCCCCTTGGCCCCGTGCCGAGCCAAGGGAGGCAGGGCCGGGCTCGTGAGAGGAGCCGAGCTGCGAGGCTCGATGGCCTCCGGCGTGCTCGCCTGCCTTCGGAGGTCCTCGGGCCTCGGGGTGCGCTCCGGCGGCTGCGGCTCGCCGAGAGGCGTCGGGTCCTGCCCGGATCGTCCCGAACGGCCGCCGGAGACCCGAGCTGCGGCCCGAAGATTTGACGACGAGAGTCCGTGGGGGGGGGCTGAGCTCCGAAGGGGCGCATCGACTCCCGATCGCCCATTGGTTGCCGATACCCAGGACCGTGCGGTTTCGCAATCGGGGGCTTATCGCCGTTCTATCGGCGATGTATCGCTGATTCCAGGTCGATGTGTCCCCCCGAGCCCCAGACCGCTTCCCTGAAGCACTTGTTTCATTAGCGGCAGAGATCAGAGAGACGACGAGGTTGACAGGAAACTAACGGGCGACACGAAGACGATAGGAGGGCGCGGGGGGGAGGCGCTAGGTCCAAGCCCGGGCGACCTCTTGGCTGAGCATAGCCAGCCGCATGCCGCAACACTTTTTTGTACCTGCTCGAGCGTCGATCGCACGAGCAGCTGATCTGGCCAGTCTGCGCAGCAAGTCGGAGCCGCACCTGCGGGGCGTGTTCGACGACAGCCTCCAGACTGAGCGGTGGGCGCCGAGAGCCGTGAGCACCCGTGGTAGAGATCGGAGAGGCGGCGTGGTCGCGGGCGAATGCATTTTGAGGCTTCTGGAGCTGCGGCATCAAGAAAGCAAGAGAGAGGGGGGGGGGGGGGCGGGCGCCAGCCCGCGCCTGCGCCAGGCGGGAGCTCCCGGCACGTGAATCCACACCAGCCCCTCCAGAAACGATGGCTCACGCGGGCTCCCTCGAGCAGGGGTGGGAGCGAGCGGAGACACACAGGGAGGGGGGGGGGCCGTCGAGTCGAAGCTTGGGATCAGCCTGAGCAGACACAGGAGTGAACCAGACACGTCCTCACGCATTCGAGGAGGAGGAAAAGGAGGACGATGAGGAGGAGGAGGAGGAGGAGGAGGAGGAGGAGGAGGAGGAGGAGGAACGGAGGAATGTCTTCACGTATGTCGATTGAGGAGGAGGAGGAGGAGGAGGAGGAGGAGGAGGAGGGGGAGGGGAGGAGAGGAGAGAGAGGAGGGAGGGAGGAGG